CTATGCAAACTTGCTGAGAGAGCAGTCCACGCCATCCTCCAGATCATTAATAAAGATATTAAACAAACCCTCCCCCTGCACCAGAACCAGCCCTGGGGGCTTCTCCCCTCATGCAATCACCATAAATAAGTGACAGAGAGCTTCAGCTCCACCCGGCCCCCTGCTCTCTAGGGCTGGGGCTCCCAAACTCTTTGCTGGCTCGACCCCATTTCAGTGACCTATTTCCTCCTGGCCGCAGTGGCGTAGCCAGGTTCTAAGAGCAGGGGGAGCGAACACATTAAAAAAGGTGCCACCCACTGCAAAGCAGCGAAGGAAAAAAAATAAAGCACTTCCATCCTTTAATAAAAAAAAAAAAGGTACTGGAACATGCTTCCAATTCCACCGCTAAGTGATACCGGCAGTACCCAAATGCCATTCCAGCTCCTCAAAAATGTGCTAGAATGCGGTTTCGGAGTATTCCGGCACAAGTCAAGCCTTGGTGCTGAGTGACCTGTCTCGCTGGAGCCCCGTTACCTAGTTTCTGTAACCTTGCTCTCTCCTCCCCAGTGCTTTCTCTTCCTGTATGACTCCTGTTTGTTCTCCTCCTGGTAGTTTTCCAATGCTCCTACCTTCACTCCCCCTCCCTCCTAGAGTCAGCTAAACTGGTTTTCTAAGGATGCAGCTCACTCATTATCCCAGATGTTTACACCTGAATAGGGTCGTTAAGTCCTAAGCACCTTCTTAATGCATCTGTTGGTGCATATGTGCTCCAGGGCCTGTCAGCAGTACTGGCTCCATTTGTAGAGAGACATTCATAACACAGCAGGTTTGCATAATCAGCTTTACAATATCAAGCAGAATTCATAAATTGTACAGATCTAGCCCTGATCCATCCCAGGAGGATACTATGGGACATAGTTGATGCACAAAGGATAGCTCGTCTATGGCCACAGAGGAATGAGAAGCAAGCAGAGCCATATAAAAAGGTACACTAAGTACGAAAGAGCACCCAAGGAGTCGGTGCCTAAGGCCCCACTTTTGAGAATGTGCTCAGTGGGGGAGCGGCCACTCCCCCTGCTCCCCCCCAGCTACGCTACTGCTCCCGGGACCCAGACACCATGGAGCTGCACACAGCACGACCTCGCTGCACCGTATGTGTGAGGTCAGGCTGCAAGGAGGCCCCTGTTCTGTAGAGTAGACTGGTGCCCTGTTGGGGTGGCATTTGTGGAGCAGGGCTGGACACAGTCGGGGGCACACCTCGTCATCACACAGGCTGAATCTGGTCCCTTGGACGCACAACCCACCTGTGGATGGTCCAAACCTATTTGGGGTCCTGACCCACAGTTTGGGAACTATGCTCTAGGGCAGTGCTCTTCACTATTTTTGAAGTGGGGCCACTCTGGCAAAAAACCTTCAGTGTGAAGGTTTGGGTGGGGGTGCGGCGTGTGGGGTGGGCGTGGGGAGTGGAGGGA